CTCCGAAACAGGATCAATGACAACCAGAAAGTGTGAGTGCCACGTCCCGCCTTCCCGCGCGGCCACCTCTTCCCTCCGGCTCCCAGGCCTCCCCGCCTGTCCCCGCCTGTCCCCTCCCCGCCTGTCCCCGCCTGTCCCCTCGCCGCGGCTCGCTCCAGCCTGAGGCTGCTGCCCTTTCTGCCCCCGGAGGCTGCTCCAGGCTGTCCCCTCAGCCATCAGCGCCCCCCTGCCCCTGCCTGTGGAGACCCGCCGTCCTGCCCAGTGTCCCCCTCCGACTGCTCCCTGCTGCTTCTGCAGCTCCAAGACCCGCGGGAAGGCCAAAGTCACCGGGCGCTGGAAGTAGAGGCAGCAGCCTCCACAGAGGCCAGGCCTGGCTCGCCACAGATCTGCTCCGCGCTGCGTGACCCCTGCCTGGCTCGCCACAGATCTGCTCTGCGCTGCGTGACCCCTGCCTGCCCCCAGCACCCGGGGCCCTCCTGGCACCAGGAGCTGGCCCAGGGCGAAGCCACCCCTCATGCCTGCAGCCCACATGCCCACGCCACACCAGCAATAAAGGCCGCCACACACCGAACGGCACTTCCGTCACTTCCCTTCAGAGGGACAGGAGCTGAGCAGGACCCTGGTCTTTCCTGCCAGGCGGGCGGGCGGGAGAGGAGAGGTTTGGCAGCTACCAGGGCCTGAGTCCCCGTGAGGCCGGGGTTCCTGGGTACACTGAGTCCCAGAGACCGAGGAGGAGGGACGGGGTGGGGGGAAGGGGAACCTCACGCACAGAGCCCAGTTGTCACAGAATCCAGGTCCCCTGGCAGGACAGGGAGGCCTGGACGTGTGTCCGCGAGGCCACTCTGGTCATCTCTGGGCACGGCCCCACCCACTCTCCACAGCCTGCAGCTGAGCCGGTGCCCCAGCCCCGTCCCCAAACCCAGGCTCTGCAGCCCACCTCAGCCACCCACCGAGAGAGGGGCGTGAGGTCCACCCAGTCCCCTCTGACACCACAGTGTCTGCCCGGGGCGACGGTGTGGTCTGGGGACCTTTCTCCGGCCCTCCTCTCCTGCCGGGGGCCTGCGGTCAGCCCTCTGCTCTAGCGGGCCTGGTCCCGCCTGTAACACCCACAGGCCCAGGCGGGTGCAGAGGGCAGCCTCACTGCCGTGTTCTGAGCCTCCCTGAGGCCAGGTCCCAGTTAACTTCCCTCCGAGGTCCCCAGGTAGTCAGGAAAGATTCTCGAGTGCCCTGAGCACTGTCCTCACACGGTGCCGACCTGGTCGACTCTGCGGCCCCCAGGCCGGGTCCTCATTCCGGCACCGCAGCCGGCCAGAGTCGGGGGGGCTGCGGACGGCCGGTGTGCCCGGAGCCCGGAGCATCCGTGAAGTGTCTGGGCAGGTGGCCCTTCCCGCCCCACTTACCAAGGAGAGAGCACAAGCTGAGTCCAGGGGCGTAGCCGGCCACCTTCCGGGTCCCACAGGCGAGGGCGTGGGCTTCGGGTCCTATGCTCTCGCCGTGACACCTCCAGGGGAAGGAGGGACCGTGGACGTGTGCACAGAACACACGGTGACGGGCTCATGGGGCAGAGGGGCCACCGAGGCACGCACACCACCTGCTCGGCTCCGTTCCCCTGCACTCCGGGGCCAACCCTGCGGCAGGAGCCGAGCCAGACGCTGAAGGTGTGGGGTGGCCGAGAGCCACCCGGGGCTCCTGACCGCTCTGGAGCGGGGATGCTCAGCGGGGTGGCCGCCCGCCGGGTCCCTGGACCCCTGCCCACCCTGCCCCCACCACAGCCTATCTGGGCACACTGCTGGCCACGGGGCTCTCTCGGACGCTGTCTACGGCCATCTGCTCAGGGAAAACAACCTCCCAGCTCACTTGGGCCTGACTTGGAGACAGCAGGCTCCCCCACTCTGGAGCGTCCGTCAAGGTGGAGCTCCGTATGTCCCCCCCTCAGAGGTGGGGGGGCTTCGAGAGAGAAGAATGGACTCTGCAGGGGCCTGGTGGCCCTGAAGTCCAGCACTGCCAGCCGGAGGCCTGGGCTCTGCCCCGGGCTCCCCACTTCCCCCCTTCCACGCCTGGCCTGCCACCCCCAGCTCTGCAGCTGTGGCGGCCCCTTCCCTTCTCGTGCCTGAGTCCCCTCGCCTGGCCCACGGACTGACGGGGAGGCAGAGGGCAGCGGCGTGGGCGTGACAGGCGTGACCGTGCAGAGCGCGGTGCCTGCTGAGTTGTGGCGAGTCCCAGCTGTCACGACTGCTGCTTTGGTGTAACTGGCCACCAGGTCTGGGGGGGCCTGCGTGACCAGGTCTGCGGGGTCCTGCGTGACCAGGTCTGCGGGGGCCTGCGTGACCAGGTCTGGGGGGGGCCTGCGTGACCAGGTCTGGGGGGCCTGCGTGCCAGCACTGGCTGGCTCCCCCTTGGGCGTGGGGCTTTACGGAGTCCCCACAAGCCTGTCTACTTTGTGGGTTCAATGTCAGGTCTTCTCCGTGACCAGGCCACGGGGGGCCGGGGTGGCGAGAACCTGCTGCTGCTGACTGTCCCCGAGCAGTGGCTGCAGCTCCGTGCCCCTGCTGGATGGAGGTGGCGGAACCCACTCCCACGGGCTCCGCCCCTGACTCCGGCATCAGTTTCTGGAAAGGATGGGGCCGGACTCGCCCTGGGGCGGGGGCCAGTGTGTCGTCTCCCAGGAGCGTCTTCAGGTTAGGGCTGAGCCCTCGGCCGGCCGTGCAGAGCAGACCAGGCCGGAGCTGCTCCCTGACACGTGGCCCTGGGCACTTGCCTTTCTGGGCTCAGCCCTCCCAGCCTGTCCCTCGGCTCTGCTAGGAGAGAGGCCGGGTGCAAAGTGGCTAAACTGGCCCTTCGCCTCCCACCCGTGTCCCTCCCGTGTCCCTCCTCTGTCCCCGGGACAGGCCCTGTGCAGCCACTTTACATACATTCTCTCCTCCGCCACCCACGGTCCCCAGGCCACGTCCCGTGTGCAGATCAGGAAAATGAGGGCCAGAGGTTTCGGCCGCTCCGTTAGTAAGCACGGAGCTGGGCTTCGAAGCCAGGTCTCTGGCTCTCCCCAGCACGGGATCTTGTTGAGTGAGGAGCCCCCAAGTTTCCCATCTGCAGTGCCTGCTCCAGACCAGAGCCCCTCGTGAGCCGGCAGGGCTGGGTTGAGGGATCGGGGCTGGCCCTGCACCTCCCTGCCCGCCCACCCAGGAAAAGCATCCGCCGCCCCGCTGCCCGGCCTACCAGCCTGCCGGAGGGATGAGCAACACTGGGGGCCAGCCTGGAGGCGGCTCCGGAGGCAGCTGCCCACGGGGACACGGGGCCTTGTCCAGATGCAGCACAGTCGGCAGACTCCTTCCTAGGAGTGATGGCAGCCTGATCTCGTGACCAGAATGGCTGGGGGGACCAGTCACTGCTTTGCCAGCAGGTCACCTCCGACTCTGCAGAGCGAGCCCCAGGGTGGGCTGACCAGGCTGCGGTTGGGGGCCAGGAAGGCATCAGGACCCCCGCGTCCACCCGCAAGCCTCCTGTCCAGCCAGATGGAGCTGGATACTTCCGTGCCCCCAAAGTCCTTGCTGTCCACCCCTGCAATGCTCTTCCCTATTTCCAGAATGCAGAATGCCATCCTTCCCTCTCTGCCCAAGTCCTTGTCTCTTTAAGAAATCCTGGGGGGCGGGGTGGGGGACCCTGAGTGCCTGAGGCTTCCTCTGGCAGCACCCCCCACACTGCCTGGGGAACTCCGCCCCAAAGGCCGGCGATTTGCAGAAACCAGGTGTGGCTGTCCAGCCTGCCCTTCCCTCCTGGGCCGCCGGAGTTCAGCCCCACCCACCACTCATCCGGGGTTCTCAGCCCCCACCCCAGCAGCTACAGGATCATAAATTGCTCTCAACTGGACTCTGGAGATGTCCCCACACTCTGTGGCGCCACCCCACCCGTGGCCCTGTGCTCAGGCCTCGGCCCCACCGGCCACACCTGCAGCGCACCCCGATCCCCAGCAGGTCCCCCGGGAAAGTCAGGCCCGGGCAACGCAAGTCTGAAGGAGCTGGAGGGCTGGGGCCGCTTTTCAGGAACGTCGGGGAGGACCGGGGGCCGGGGCGGCTCCCGGCCGGGATTTGCTGACGGTGGGTTGGGGAGACCTGCTGAGCACAAGCTGCCTCACCCCCTGCTCTCCCCACCCACCCCACCCTGCCGATTCCCACCAGGAGGTGGCCTCCGGGACGCAGGTCTGCCAGGGTGAACGGAGGAGGTCACTGCTTTGCTCGTTGGGGGTGGCGGGCAGGCAGAGTTCGTCCCTCTGAACTCGACACAGGGACCCTCTGGCCTCACACCTCCCGCCTACGGGGTCCCCGGGGGTCTGCTGGGAGAGGCTGGACGGAACGCACAAGTCAGCTGTGTGCTACCACTCACGAGTGACATCGGCCCCACGCATCGGGCACATCCTGTGTGCCGGGCGCCGGGCCCCGTAAGCCACACGCACACGGCAACCGTGTGGTTAGGGGGTGGCAGCGCAGGCAGCGGGGAGCAGGCTGCACCTGCGGGCAGGTGGCCGCTGCGAGAGAAGGTGCGACCCCATCTGCAGGGAAGGGGAGGGCTCCCGCCAGCCCCACAGCTGGCCTGGCTTCTGCGGGGAAAGCTCCGTGCCCCGCCCGCCTGGGGCGCCTCTGGCAGCAGCTGGAGGCAGTTTCTAGCCAAACCTGCCCGGGCTTTTTGCTGACGCCGTGGTTAGGTGGCAGCTGGGACCGGCAGGGCCAGTTCCGACAGCCTGACTCACTGGCGTCCTAGGGCTCTGACTCCCGCCACGGAGGGGGAGGGTGTGGGGATCGTGCAGGAGCCAGACTGTGGGCTCCCGGCCCTGGCCAGCCGGGGGGCTCCTGGAGGTCCTGGGGCGCTGGCGGGCCCGGGGAAAGGAGACTTGGCTGGTGCTCTGAGAGTCACAGGGTGTCACGCAGAGTGGCAGGACTAGAAGGGACCCCTTGGAGAAGCCTCCCCCAAGGCCGGACAGTGGCCGGCAGATTTGGGGCGCCCTGGCGCGTTTACTGAGAATCCCTTTTTCTGTGGCTGGGCCACTTCTCCCATGAGAACTGGGTGACCCGAGAATAAAATTGTCCCGGCCTTCGGGTCAGGCGTGCGTGAGGCCCCGGAGTCCGTGGCGGGCACTGCCCAGTGTGGGAAAGGACGCAGACGAGCAAGACGCTGCTCTGCCCAGAGGCCTCGGCGCTGCGTAAGGGGCGGGGCCTGGGCACGGGGTGGACTCAGGGGCGGGCGAGCAGGGCCACGGTGACGGTGACGGTGACGGTGACGGGCTCTGACAGGCAGGGCGGGGGAGGGCACGCCGGGCAGAAGGGACCCGTGGAAGCAGTGGGATTGGAGGAGCACCCCGTGCGTGGGGAGACGCCGAGGTGGGCGGGGTGCAGGGACCCCGCAAACGGGAAGGGGGAGGCGGGGGCGGCCTGGGGCAGCTCCGGGCGCAGCCCAGACACTCGCTGCAGAAAACGGGGTGCTGGCGGGGGGCGTGATCGGCATTGTTCTGAGTGGAGGCTCAGTGGTGGCACTCACTCCGGTGGCTGGGAGGTGGGTAGGGGGCGAGGGGCTGCCCAGGACACCGTAGCATCTGGCCGTGGTGGAGGCCCAGCTGGACAGGGGCAGTGGGCATGGAGGCCAGGTGGTGCCTTCGAGCCGTCGGGACTTGGTGCCCAGGTGGGAAGGGACGCGTTACGCTTGAAGCCAGAGTGTCCTGCTTGGGCGACTGGGTGGGTGTTGCCTTCGGCTTCTGTTTCTCAAAAGCAAATAAACCGAACTTCACGTGGCTCGGGCTGGTTTTAGACTCGAGCCCTGGGCAGAGGAGGGACGGCCCGGGTCGGGCAGGGCTGGGGACAAGCGACAAGGACAGCCAGAGAGGCTGGGGGTCCCCCTGGGCGCCTCGGTGTCCCCTGCATGAGCAGCGGAAGTCACGGCCCCGGGCGTGTTTGCTCTCTCCCTAGGCCTCGCTCCGGCCGTGAGGTTAAGGTAGACACTGGTGTCGTGAGCTCTGGTGACGGCCGACCACGTGGACACGGCAGGGCTCTGAGGGGCTGTCCCTCCCCCCGGGGGCACTCTCGGTCCTCGCCTGGTTTGGGGCCCGTAAGACGGGACCCTGGAAGGAAGTGAGCAGCCCTTCGTTCTTCAATGGCACCCCAAATAATCCACCACTCGAAAACATGCAAAGAAATGCCAGCAATTTATTGGTTCCCTCTATTTCCAAAAAAGCAAATACACAGCGTATCACACGGGCGGACTGGGCCTGGCCAGCACGAGGCTGTCACACGGACGTGGAGCAGGGGACGGTGGGCTCCTGGATACCCTGCAGCAAGCCCCTCCACCCACAGCCGGCCCTGCCGCCCGAGCCGTCCACCCCTCAGCCAGGCTCCAAAGTGGACGAGATGGCCTGTCGGTGCCTCCTCGCCCTCGGGACAGGCGTGGGGGCTGCACTGCTGGTCTGGCCCCCACCGGACGGGGCTGGTGGCCAGTGACTGGCTCTGTCTGGGGTCGGGGCACGGACGGGGAGAGCCCGAAGCTCCGTGTGCTTCCTCCCTTGGCCGCAGGCTGGAGAGTCTCATCCTGGGCATCTGCCTTGACGGTGAGGCCAGTGTGGCCTTAAAACATGGAGAAGGCCCGCGGACGCACGGAGCCCGCCACCCCTGCTCCCTTACCCTGGGATGTGCGTCCTCGGGCCCCTCTCGGGTTTGCCTCTTCCTAAGTGACAGGCATGGGTCAGAGGCCGGGTGACAGGCCCAGCTGGCTGGCCTAAGGGGACACGAGAGGTTACCAAAATCAAGCCTGATTGCCCACCTCTGAGTGGACTGGACAGTGGTCTCACACTGGGGCCACTACAGCCAGGGCCCACGTCTCCTCTTTCTTCCAGGAGGTCAGCCCATGGGGACAGGCCTGTGGCCTCTTTGCTCATGCGCGTCCTAGGTGCCAGGAACAGCATGGCCTGGGGCTCCACACGGTTTTAAGACGTGAATTCCCCTGGGCCCAGATGCGGGCGGGCGGTCATCCCGAAGCCTCCTCCTAGGACATCCTGGGGGGGCCAGGGTCGCACGTGGCCGCTGGGGCGGGGGTGAGCCAGGACCTTCCATCATGAACAAAGCGGGGAGAGCATCACACCCATGGCACGGAGGACAGCTGGTCAGCGGCTGTCACCATGGGTCTCAGTGGTCACAATGACAAAGGCACATCCTCAGCCTAGAAAAGCTTCTC